CCCGCATGGTTGCTGATTTATGAGCATTATATCCGTGTAACATGTAATAAGAGCGGCGTTATAAGGCGTTCTTACACGAGAAAAGATGCTTGTCAGTCTGACGGCTGCCTACCAGTATGTTCTTGTGCAAGTGTTGAAAATTAACTCCGACCAGTTCGCTCCTTATTTATAACTTAATTGATCTCTATTATTCATTGTGTGTGTATGGCTTTACCAATGGACGTTAATTACTGCAAAGTGTAAATACACATGCTATACGATGACATCAAGGCGGTCTTAAAGCATCGACTACAGACCTTAATGGACTCATCGCTTCTTCAACATGCATTAAAAAATTTTTAATTAACTTCTTTCAACACATTTTTTTCAACCTTTGGCATCATTTCTCAGTTTGTGCTATTTGCCCCGACGACATCGTGTTTAGGAGCAGATTAACATTGCGAGTGTGGCAATTATAGGGATATATTCCGGAGCCATTATTATCTTCGTAATAGCGCCAAGCCACAGCTTGGCCTTGCAGACAGGCGGCAGTTGGGGTAGTGGTTAACCGTTGAAACCGCAGACAAGCAATGATTATTATCAAAGCACTATTGTACGTGCTGATACTATCGATGATCTTCACGCTCGGCTTGCAAATGCATTGGCTTTGACGTTTGTCGCGCAGCGTTCATTGCAAACATGAAATACTGGATTTTCTTAAATATAAGTGTTGGTTATCTAATTGTGGAATTTAAAACAAATTAGCTACTATGCACTGAGGAATGTTATTTTGATGCGATTTATGTCATCAATTACCGAGCAGATTTTAGATCTTATCGTTTACACGTTTCTACTCTTGCCGATTAGATGTCCAGGTAATTGGAATTCATGATGGTCGTTACGTAATGGGTCTACTGAAAACCACCTTAGGGTGGATTTGGTAGTTAAGTGAAAAATAAAGTCGCTTCAACCACGAAAACCTCTAAAAGTTTTGACAATATTTCAAAATATTCCAGCAATATTTTTGTAGTACATACAATATGTCTGAAGTGATTTGGGTTTGGTGTTATAAATAAAAACATAAAGAATTAAAATTGTAAATATTTATTTTTTATTTTTATTTCAAAATAATCTCCAAAAAAAATTATTTGACATGTTATTAAATGTGTCCAGCTAAAGATATAAAAATCGTTTTCTTTATTAACACACTTTCTACGTGGATTTTGGAAATTTTTTGAGGTTGGTGTCGACATTCCTTTTGTACCGGTTCCAATCAAATAAATGAATTTCGATTAGATCTGTATTTGGAGTGGCCGTGGCGGCGGCACTTTTCACTTTTTCGAGTAGATCCTTCGATCCAGACTTCGGCTATTGGAATAAAGAATAAAAGGCTTCAGCGCAGCGTGCAAAATGAAAAATGTGTGTGTGACTGTTCGAAGACGGCTTTCAGCTTTCTAATTACGGACTACAAATCTTAATCACGACACCTGTCACGTTCAAACGGGGGGAGAAATGTGAATCTTAAATTGGATTTTTCCTCCTCAATTCTAAATAGCTTCCTATTTCTTTGGAACAATTATTATTTTAACCGGCGACTCTTTGTTGTAGGAACATAATTATTACTTATCCGATTATCAAACTGGGAAAAAAAGAGACTATTTTGTGCTGAAAATATTCTATCGGTGTTATCGGCCTCGACGGTATAGTTAACGTTACCGGCGCAGAGCAGTAGTGTTGATACACCTGAAATACGGTCCTAATATCTGGAGATCGCACAGTTCTGGTGCTTCTCCTGGGAACAATCTTCTGCACCACGCCTTGACATACAGCATAGAAAATGGAATACCTACATATCCGGATTATATTACCAAACAAATATTTTTTTCTTGAGACTGTTTTTGATAATTAACGTATTTATAGAGATAAACTTGTGTTGCTAGTGATTTTAATCTGATTTATGTATATTATCTAAGGCCCAACCAATAATTAAAGTAGGCATTTTATCTTAATTACCTTAAAGTGACTTAGTATGGGTGCTTTCAATCGTTTAGGTCGGTTATAGCTCACGATACAATAAAATATTAACATTCGCAAATAATATATAATTTAGATAAATCATGTCTCTTAATTACTGATGTGTGGACTAATCGATATGTTAATAGTTAATAAATGTTTTTGCATCATTGTATATTTTACATAGACACAAGTCTTCAATAAATAATATTTAAGTAATTAAAGAGTAAGATTTATGATTATATAATTTAAATGTAAGTAATTTATAGGATCAGCAAAAAAATGTTGTTGATCGTAAATCACGATCACGTCAGGCCGATTGCATGACAGACTTCGAAACGCAAAAGAATAAATCAAAACCGTCTGAAACTGATAAATTCCCTTGTAATTAACCGCTAACTATAAAGATAAAAATTACGCCACGATTATTGTAGGTGATGAAACCAATTGCAAAATGTCAGTACGCTAAATTTTCGTAATTGGCGGTCATCGTCGTTGGTCTCGATCGACAGTCGATGGTTTTAAACCTGTAACTTGTCCGTCCCCGATATATGTTCAAAATCGCGACACTATAATTTCGTGGGCAGCTAAGCTGTGATTTTAGAAAATGGCTCCGCGGGGAAATACTAGTGATTTCAGCGCATACCCTGTGATTTGAAGGATATTGGCGGCCGGCAACAAGATGTAATAAAAATGCCGCAAAGGACCGAGCCACTTTACCAGCTCCAGAAACACATTAAATAACTGCAACTTCTGATTTTCTTGTTATAACTTTTATACGGCGAAACTATATGGCAGGGTTGTATTTTATGAGTTGACCGCTTAACCGCGGGTTGTTCATAAAACTAAATTATGACCGCGACGACCATAATTCGTTTTTAATTTTATGAAACGACGGCGACACGATTTTTAATCGCCAGTAATTCTCAAAAATTCAACAAAAAATCACTTGGTCATCGATTTTAAAATGAAAAAATAAGATTTATAAAAATAACACCGCTGATACTTGATTTATAAAATATCTGTCACGTTTAAATTTGCAACATGATTTTGTTTCTGAATTCCTCACATTACGTTGCTTTTTTGATAACATTATTTAAATTCGAAACATAAATTCAGTACAGCTCATTTCCAGAGCGTGTATTTCATGTTCTCTGTATTGACAAAATGACATGCCATTTCCTTTGCAAGTTTGAATCAATCGTGTCCGTCTGTGCGTAAATTCACTTGTAGTGATTAGTAGTTGACTCTAATTCCAATTATTATTTAAATTATTACCTAGTTGATGGTAAACACATGTCTAATAATGATTTTACAAACGTACATTATACAACCACAAAGTAAGCTCCTACATCAAAAAAAAATAAATAAAAATTAAATTTATTAGTATATAAAATTAACTTTTATTAAACAAGACGTTTTTGAAGGTATTTTTCGCGTAATCTGCCTAAGTATTTATTTTTCTTAAATTTACTAAAAATTTCGCTTTCGTAAAGCTTCTGAACTTTGAAGTAGTTTTCAACTATACCTACAATAGAATGAAAAGTGCTATTTGATCTGTTCTAGCATAGTATGAATTAAATTACCAATTAAATTTTTGGCTTTTTTGGAATGAAATTTCCAGCCATCTAGAGAACTAACAGCTATACAAAAACCCCGCAATGCGTTATTAATATCGAAATGACACTGCTAGCTACCAACTTATCGTCCTGATTATAATAAATGTGAGAACGGTTTCAATTGAACAGCATTAGAGAATTAGCTGGGAGAATACATCAAAGTCTTCCCTGCTGACAATACAATCTATTAATCCTTGTCATGAGCGACCACTACTAATTTATTATCACTGTCCTTGTCTCGTACATTGTGTCCCGTTTTGAACCAGTGAATGGAAATAATATTAACAACAAAACACGATACGCATCGATCAATTTGGATCATAATAGGAGCAATAAATAACTACAATTAATACTGTTTTGGCATTTGTTATGAGTAAAAGTCTTCAAATTTGCAACTTAGACTAATTAATCGAATTCTAACAAAACAAATAATTGGCAACGAAAGGCCCCCGGCGCCACGCCGGACCACGTTATTAAAGTCCGTCTAGGCGTCGCCGCTAAATTGTAGTGATTTGCGGTGATCAGAATGGTGGTGGTGCTAATGGTATACTTTGGATAAATACGTATTCGAATCCCAGCCTCTAAATTATAAGTCGTCAAACTAACGACCGTGTTTAAACTCAATATGGTAATGTTGGTTGCATATAGCCACCGAAGTTGAAACTTATTTATTTTTTGGATAAAAGATCGAATTGCAAACTACATGTCTTTGGTTATTGAACTATGTATTTTTTGTAACCTCATCTTGCATGAAACGTTTTTAGATCGGCGGTAATAGAGAATCAAGTATTCGCACTTAATTTATTTCTGTTGAGTGTAACCGATGAATCGAAGGTAATAACTTTTAAGAAAAGTTATAACGATTGATAATTTATGCAACGATAAAAACGATAAAATACGACGACATCTAACCTTTGCTTGAAATTAACTATATAGAAAGTTCTAAAATAAATCTCGTCGGTAGTAGCTTGAGTAGTTATAGACTAATAGAAATGCCAGCTTGAATAGAAATAAATTACCTTAATGTATGGTAAACATTCATATATGTAAGCGTAAGAATCATAAATATGTCACTACTGTTGTCAAGTAAATGCCGATTAATGTGTTCTTAAGAAAGTCGAAAGATTATCATTTCAGTTTTCTGCACGTCAACTCTCGAAATGTTGACTGAATGAGTGCGACAGTGATGGAAATTGATTTGGTTGAGAAACGTGAGAAGTACACATCAACAGCTGTGGTAGCTGATCTATTTTGGGATTAGATAGATGGCTCTTGCGGCTCGTTATTTTGTCCTAATTATTTTTGTTTTATGGTCGATGAAATTTTAAAATATAGCTTCTAGATGTCAAGAAAAATTTTAACAATTCGTAGAAATAAAATAACTTGTAAATTTTAGCGATTTACTCTTTTAAAATAAAGAAATAAAACAACACATCTTCATAATTGTTAACAATAAAATAGTTCCTCAAGGAAAAACCTTCAAAATTATTACACAATGATATGAATAAGAACAATTTGTACAAGAAACATTATTGTACATAGACGATGAAACATATACGCGGCCGCACTAAAAAAGTCAAGAGTATACGAATATGATAGAATCACTGATCGTGCTAACAATGCAATAAATAATGATTGAGATCTGTACATAAATTTACAGCAATTAATATATTCTCGGGTAAACCCCGATCGGTAATATTTACAAAAACGTATCCAGTGTTTAAAAATAATATCACACAGTCACGTCCACACAAAAAACACACCTCCTAGACAAAATGACAAATCGTTCGAGTCCTTCAGGTAATCTTGTGCGACTAGTTAAAAACTCATGTCATTGTCAACATAACACAGCTTCATATTTGGCTTGGAATTATTTGTCCTTTTAGGGATGCATGCCTGGTGCTGCTCCTAGACGAGGTCCATATAACGAGTAAGGCGACAAGTAAGGTGGCAGTCCAGGGTGGCTCAACGGGAACCCCGACAGCGAGGAACTCAATGAGGGCGGCAAAAGGGACGGCTTGCTATACGGATGGTACCGAGCCGTCGCCAAAGGACTAAGAGGCGGCGTGGGGTACGTCCGGTGCAACAATGGATGTGTGGGCGGCAAACTTGAAGAACTCAACATCGATAACGCTGCGGAACTTTCCGACACCGCTACACTCGTGTGAGTCCTTAAATGAGCCAAAAGTTCCTCTGAACTTGAAAATCTTTTGCCACAATATGCGGCATCTCCCGAGATCCAGTTGCATACATATGGTAGATGTGATGCCGCGGCCAGAGCTGCCAATTGGGCATGAGCATAGGCCGCAGCAGCCGGATTATGGCCTAGATATCCGGTGGAAGTGGGAGGTTTAGTATGGTCACATTGGGTGCATCCGGCAGGACACGCCGTTGAAGTTTTAACAGCAGCACCTAGTAGGTGAGAACTAACCCCACAACCAGTGCAATAAGGATCCCTGCAGACGGACGACAAGGAATCTGCGGTTTTCATCCGACCGTAATTGAGATAAGGACTCAAACCCCCTTTAAGTGCGTGGTGTTGAGACATTAAGCTACTCGTCATCAAATCCATCGGAAGGGGAAACCCTGCACCGGGATAACCGAGAAAGGTTGATGTGACTGGAACTCCAGGTTTGAAGGTTCCCAAAGGCAAGTCTTTGATGGCCGGATCAGATGACGATGTTAGAATATTGGGGGTGAAGGCAGTTTTCGCCGATGAGGACACCGGAGTCGAAGGACTACCCCTCTCACTATTTTTGTTTTGTTCACCAGCACTCGTGCCTTCACTTGCTGGTGTTTTCCGTTCAGAAACTGACGGAGATGCTCTCGGAGATGTTGCGCTTTGATTGCTGGCACATCTTCCGTTTGTTGTAGCGGAAACTGTACTCTTTGATGTTGAAGGTGTCCGGACCCGACTTCCAGTTGATGCCGAACTCGATCTTTCTTCTGGGGAACGCGATTTTTCTCTCGGGAGACTATTAGAGGATTTGTGGTGCAAATCGCTCGAATTTGACGACTTCTCCTTTGATGTGTCTAATTTACTTGATTTAGTAGTCTTATCAGCACTTTGGAGAAGTTTTGAATTTGGAGTGTCAGAGCCGATTTGGCTACAAGTCTGAGCCAAAAGAGCCAAAGGACTCTTTTTAGCATCCAACTGTAATTGAAAAGCGAACTTACGCAAAGTTTTGGGATAAATTTAAAAAACTTACTGTCGTGGGTAAAGGTGTTAAATATTCCGGTCTAAGATATTGATTGCTCGGCGAACTCAACATTTTGATAATTTTTATCACTGATTAAGTTTATTCACTGCCACTTAATAACGTAGAAAGAGAGAATACGGATGGCTAGTGCCATTCAGGTGTGAAACTCTCGCACGTAACTCTTAACCTCGAGGTACTCTCACGATGAAGTCGCGAGCATGACTGACGCTCAGTTGGCCATGCGACAGGCGCTCTCTCACCGTCGGTGACGTCACGCGTCCCTCCATCCCCACTGCTGTGTGAGCTTTGAGCTTTGACACCCTCGACCACAGATCACCATGTTATTGCTTCTTCTGTTTGCTTGTCGACACTCTTTTATCCCGGTGTGACTTCCCGGTCTCCATCAACACTCGTTTCGCAACTCGGGCAACAAATACGATTTTAATTCAAAATAAAATCATCGTTTTTAACAAAGAATAATTTCATTTTAGAGAAAACAGGACTTAATCAAAATGAAAAGCAGACCGTTTTAATTTGTACGAGTAGCTCGAATTTTATTTAAACAATCATTGACGTTTTATTGGCAATAAAACGAGCTTATAAAGTTCCAAGTGTTGGAAGATTAATGTCGAACGGAAGCACTGTAACCAGAAAATTGTTGCTTGTGCTAATTTCCTCTTGGGTGAATTTGCTTGAGCAAAAATAGAAAAGCTTGTTTCTAGTTACACGATTGAAATCGGTTTAGGTAAATTTTTACTTTAGCTAATAATGTCAAATCAGATAAACATTAATATATTATTGATTGTATTCGATCGATATCGCTTGAGTTTTTCTTGTGTGTGACAAATGTCTAAACGGTAATAATTGTTATTTGATGAAGGGCGACGGGGCTATCGATCGCCGAGTTCTAAAAGTGTGAAAGTTGACCGCACAATAGTGTGTAAATTTGAGTTTTGTAGGTCTACGTCCCATTTTTAGTGTTCGTCGGGAGTGGCGTAAATGCCATTTGGTAGAATTTAGAAAAGCACTTACTGTGCGAGCTATCAAATGAGCCGAGCATAATTTATGTCAGCCAAGCCGTATCTTTATGGCTTGTGGTGATATACAGTTCTCGGAAGTCCACGTGGTGTTAAAACTGGAGATCAACATAAACTGTTCCAAACAAATCGCTGGGGTAAACGAAACTCCTTTTAGTCACGCATTTTTGAAAACAAACAGTTCACCGCCAAAGAACAGCTGTCTGCATTCACTCAGGAAAAATCTACCGTGCATACAGAATCTGACATTGAGTCGTGCGAGATATACGACCTTGGATGGACGTGCCGTTGCCATAATGTGTCTGTTGCGTTAATAATTCAGTCAGGACGCTATCATGTCGGCTTTGTACACATGTTGAGTCATTAGCAGAGTCTGTACATCAGCGACTGCCATCATAAACACGTCATCGATACGAGAGCTGCCGGTCGTTAGAGCTACATCCAATAAGGTATGCTCACCGAAAAAATCGCTTTCATCTAAGTTTTACTTGATGTTTGTCGACTGCCTTATTACCAACATATAGGTCTTGGTGAAATATTTATTACCAATCCGCACCGGTGGTTGCTCGCAACTAATCGCACTCACGTTCTTGATCGACCCCAGGGGACTCTTCGTAATTTCAAGATATTTATCCAAACCTACTCTTTGCCTTTCTTGTCGCCTGGTCTGATTTTTTAATTGTAGTAGCTAATTTGTCTATTACTCAACTTTAGCTTTTAACATGACTTCAATTATCAAATTTTAAAGCGTTTTTAAATTACCTACCACGTGACGACGTCATCTTTTTGTTAAATTAGCACTATTAAAAATGTTGATGAAAAAAGTAAAGTCAGCAGAGATGAAAAGAGCTAAAAGTTAATCAAGGATTTAGACAGGTGGCTCCACTCCAAAGCCCGATTTTTGCTACTAATAAATCATGACGTTTTGAAAAAATGTTGAGGAGAGTACAAAGCCGTGTAGATCTTGTAGTTGGCCAAAGAAAAGTGTAAAATGAGGGCATTTAATGGAAAGTGAGCGATGACTATCGACTCTGACAGTTTATTACAACGGTCTATTGGTGCAGGGTAAAAGCTCATTGTGTTAGAGACGTTCCCTGAAAGGGCCTCATCCTGTAATATATCATTAGGAGCATTCACGCAGACCATAACTAATATTAATGTATTTTCGGATTAGTCGCGCCGCTGGACAGTCAAAAGAACGGTCTAAAATGACAAACCGGACATTACTGGGGCACACATAGAGCAGCTGTCTGAAAAAAAGAGGAGGAGGTTGACCTGTCACATTAATTTACGTCACATACCCCTCCGCGGGATGCCGTCGCATTTTTCACGTCATGATGTCGTTGGAAAATAAGGTACTGTGTGCAATTTTGCGTGTAATTCAGAACCAGCAGGGTAACCGAGACCCCCGTTCACGAGACTCATTGTGTTCGCGAAGGTTTCGATTGATTTACTACTTCGGAAAAAATGGATATTTGAAAGAATTATGTCCTGTCGAGGTGGCGTTATGTTGTCTAACACATTTTCCCTATCTTTATTCCGATTGGATGACACTATTGCTACAAATTGTATTCACAAAAAGATATAAGACATTTGATTAATCGGCGCTGCTTTCTTTCTTTCTTTTAGATCTTACATCAGTTTAACACTAAATAATTATTTCTTCAAGATGTACAGAATTTTCAGCAAGTAGTCATACCTACCTGTAAAGTTATGAAGATTTTAAAAAACTGTAAAAGATTACAAAATAGTTATTTGCGTAACTATTCCGGAAAGTGAGGATGAGCAAGCAAAACGACGAGTCGTTAAATATTCAGGAAAATTCACTTGTCGGACGTGGTGCATACAAAATTTTCCATGCGGTTATTGTAATAATTTACATTTTTAACATAAAAACGCAATTTTTGGTAAAATTTGTTGTGTTTCGTAGCAAGTGTTAGCAACCTATATGAAACACTTATAAGTAGTAAAACTATGGTGTAGAGGGAGCGATTTGAAATAAGCCGTTTTATTGTTTGATGTTGATGAAGGAGGAGCGATTTTAAAAGACGCGTACGAGTTATAACGAATTTTTTTTTTTAATTTGGCGTCAAAGCAATCCATGAATGTTTGATTGTGAACAAACAACCACTGTATTGATAGTTATTAATCTGACATTTGATATCTCTTTGGACGTATTAAAAATTGTGGCCTGTTCACAACACACTCATATCACCGCCAACCGTGACGCCAAATTTAAATAAGCACCCGTTATACAGGCTGCTCCAGAACTCGCGCCCCAGAGAAAACTTTCAAGTAAGGTAAGATACCAGGAACATGAAAAATTTTTTTTTTAATTCTCTGTCAAAAAATTGTGACATTTTTTTATATCTATTTAAGGATACTGATGATCTTGTATATGTGTTTTTACAATTATTTAGTAAAGAGACAAAAATTTTACCAATAAAAGCCACAAGTACCTAACATTGAACAATTACAATTACAATTTAGGATACAGCTTCCTTGTTTCTTCTTTTAATAGCCTTTAGGAAAAAAACGTGGAAAATTATTTTTCCAACAGAAATAAATAGAGTCAAAGTGCAAACTTTAAACCTTCATAACTTCGAAATTTTTATATATAAAATTTTTTCAACATTTTTACCATGTTCCTGGTAGAGTCCGTTTTTCTAAGAGGTACATGGGCGGGATCGAGAATCTGCGCGAACTTTTAGAGAAGGGAGCTTAAATCGCTTGCCAGTGGCGTAACATAACGTGGTAGAGATAAAAAACTCGTACAGCCAAAATTTTAATATTGTAAATCAAAGTCTGCAGTGCCAGTCAATACGATAAAATGGGTTCAACTGAAACTCAAAAACAGACTATAGCATGAAATTTAAGAGACGGAATTTCGATACGGGCAATTGCTGATGTTCAGCAGATTCAAATTTGAGCGATTTTAACATCTGTGTCCGTCCTATCATCCATACATAACCTTTTTTTAAAAAGCGATGTTTACACAACTCAAATTTATAATTTTCGGATCTGTTGTTCGTCATCTGTGTATGATTTTTGTTTCAACCATGGTACATTTGTTATTAATTATTGAACATTTTAAACACCAGTAAAATAAAAGATTTAACAATGTTCACAATAATTTTGCATCACATTCTTTACGTAGGTACCAAATAAAAGCTTGAAATATTAAAAAAAAATAGTTTGTACTTACCAAAATACACAATTAACATTTAACAAAAGACAAAAAAAAACAATTTGATTTATGCTGCTAATGTCCGTTTTTTTGTTTGGTATGGGTAAGTGTAAGGAAAATTAAAGTACGCTACTGATGACATCGAACCCCTACGTGAAGGATGCGCGTTACAAATTTGGTCTTAAATGTGTTACTGGGCCATTATATTGGTGTGTACCTCTTAGAAAAACGGACTCTATCTAACCTCATATGGCATTTTTCTCTGGGGCGCGAGTTCTGGCGCACCCTGTATATGAATTGTTTGGTTGTTTGCAGAATATACGAGGTCTGTAAAACTCACGGCGCTAGATAATAAATGCCCAGACGTACTTTATAGCACCCCAATAAATAAGCTGGTTATTCTATTATGAACCGCAACAGAATGGGTGCCTGAGACTTGTGAGAGGGATTGTCGTTTCGCTTGTGCGAACTCCCATAATGCCGTAGACAAATACTAGAAGCTTTGCTGTTAAAAATGTTCATCTATCCATCCATCCATTACACAAACTGTCACAGAACGACGTCATCGACGCAGGAAAATCCATCATGCTTCTCGATAATTTGTGGTGACAGGTCGATCCCGTCGAAGATGATGTATCTGCACCCCCGCCTCAATCAATCTTCATTGCTGGCGGCAGAGGTAATCCGGCAAATGCTGCACAATCCAACATAATGACCGGCACAGACCAGTTACGTGGGCCTTTGTCACTGAGTCCTTTATTGCCACAGCTGTCACTGAAACCTCCACCGATTTACTAAATCCGCTTCTCTGTATTCACGTGGGGCGCCATAAATTATATCGAATTTCGATAAAAAAAAAACACCACCGAGATGGTGTTGCATTGACCTTAGCCTAGCCGTCGGCTTTTACCGGGACCCATTACTATTTTATTGTGGTAATAAAAGCTCTTAGTCACAATTTATGTTGGACATATACTGCACTTCACA